TTACTGTTGCTGCTGATACTGCTTCTGCTGTTGTTGGTGGTACTGTTGCAGCTGCAGTTACTATTGATGCCCAGTTAACAATTTTGCGAATATTTTTTTAAATTTTTAATGATTTTGTTGTTGTTCTTTTTGTTAAAAAAAATTTTTTTTTTGTACGTTCGGACTAATGAAATAGAGTGACATTTATGGATTTTATTTTTTTTTTTGTTTGTTAAAAATTTTTAATATATTTAAATTGATCAGATAGATGAGCTGTTGGTAGCTGTTGGTTAAAAAAAGATTTATGATTTCCGATGAAATTTTATGAAACTTTTTTTCCTTTCTGTTTGATCTGTACGGTTTTTTTTTGTTTTACTTTGCTTTTTGGTTTTTTTTAAACACCTTTTACTTTGCTTTTACATTTTGGTGGTTGAAAGATTTTTGTTGAAGTTGAAGATGGGTTTTTGAAGTGCGTCTGTTGTTTACAGATGATCAAATGAGGCGTTTTTTTTTCCTCGGCCTCCACTTCTTAAAGCCACATTAATTGCACGTATTTTACATGTGCTTAGGCCCAAAATGCTGATTCAGATTATATCAAGTTTCATCAAATCTTACAACTGCGTTATACCTACTGCATATTATTCTTGTTTCTGTTGCTGCTGCCGTTGTTGTTGTCGTTGTTCGATACTTTTTTGCATGAAACATATGTATTTGTAGAAAGCGCTATGTATTATCTCGTTGAAAGATGTTGCGCATTGATGGTACAGTAGGGTATCGGGAATATGCAATGAATCAAATTCATCTATAGAAGGAAGGATTTTGATCATGCCGGACGATCAATCAACAAAGTTTGTGCTAGAAGATGGAAAGAGAACAAGGAAAGGGAATTCCCAAGAGTTGAAGATTTAACAAAACTGGATAGGTTTTCTTTTTTGCTGTTGGTGGTCCTTCACTTTTTAAATTTGTAATGTTCGAACTGTGGAAGGCGTAGGAAAAGCATTTCATTTTAATGCTTAATTTTGATGTTGTTGTTGTTGTTTTTTGTTATTGTCGATGATGATAGTGAATTGTTTTCTAAGAAATATAACCTTTATTCCAGCATATCTGGATTCTTTTATTAGAATTTCAATTGCATTTTTTTCACATTACATTTCTTTTTCAGCCATTTCTTGTACTTTACTAATGCGCTTTATCGACATTATTTTTTTACCCTGATTTCTTATTTTTTTCCTTTTTTTTAGTTCGTTGTGTCTTTTGTGGTGAAATGGATGAAAATGTGAAACCGGCTGAAGAAAGCGTTTTATGATGGTGGTGAAGAAGGCAACAAAACAGCAAATTGTAGGGTTATCGCTTATAATTTTTAGCTTTAGAAATTGGTGTAGTATGTTTTTTTTCTTTTACTTTATTGTCAAAGAAACTGTCGACAGTTGATGGTGGGAAGGTAGGGAGGGGAATAGGACAGGATTTGAAACTCTTTAGACTGCATCGGTTGTCTTTTGTTTGGTGCTCAGTATTTGCGATAACGGAATATTAAATATTGTTTTTCAGAATGTTTTATCTGCTGTTCATTTGTTGTTGCTGTTGAGCATTTTTTTTGTTTATTTTTAAACTTTGACTTACTGTCAAACCAATTTTTCTGTCGTCCAATTAATGCCGACTGGAAAACAAAAGAAAAAGAAGGGAAAGAAGAAAGGAGGTAAAGAAGAACAAAGAACATCATAAATTACTGTTATGAGTGTTTGTAGAACCACTGGAATTCAAGATGATGAATAATGTAACATTTTTAACGGTTTATCGGTATATTTATTATTGCTATAATATAATCCACTGAACAGTCTTTGGTTGTAGTATGTGCCTATTGTAATATGGTACGAATTTTTAACAGTTATACATTAATTAGTTTGCAAAAACACTCACATTTTGTTCCTTTTTCTAATTTAGTGAAAAACTGAAAATGGGAGTTGGTTTAGTAGGTTTTCGATGTTTTCTGATTATTTTGCCGTGTTTTTTTTTTTTGTTGTTGTTGTTGGTGGTGCTGGTGGTGGTGGTGGTGTTTGTGGTGATGGCGATAGTATTGGTGATTGCTGTTGCAGCTGCGGTATGATGCTAATGCCTGTGGATGGTGCTGATGTAATTTGAACGGATGTTTAAGGGGAGGGAAGAGGGCAAAAATTGAGTATTGCT